CTCTCGGGAGGGTAACAAGAGAAAGTGTTCAGTGCAGATCAGTGAGGAAGCACAAGCCCGCCCGTGCCCACCTTGCTCCCGGAGACCCGGTCCCTCTCAGGAGGGTAACAAGGGAAAGTGTTCAGTGCAGATCAGTGAGGAAGCACAAGCCCACCCGTGCTTACCTTGATCCTGAAGACCCGGTCCCTCTCGGGAGGGTAACAAGGGAAAGTGTTCAGTGCAGATCAGTGAGTAAGCACCAGCCCGCCCGTGCTCACCTTGCACAACTTACAACAGAACGTGGTATTTAGAAGAAACCACACTTTGCTTTTCTACAACGTAACTGCAAATTAGGTCGTCTCCACAGACAGAGGCCGCAGGACCTGACTGCTCCTCCTGTCACTTTGTCCTACTGTGGGGGCTTGCTGTTGCTGTCAGGCTGGAGGCTATGCTACCGGTATTTCAAATACCAGCAGGGTCACCCACAGTGGACAGGTTTGACAGGTTTCAGCATAGCTTCCAGACTAAGACAGACTGGGAAGGAGAGAGACCATCCACTTCTCAAAGAATTGGCCAGTGAAAACCTGCTGAATAGCAGTGAACTGCTGTGTGATACATTACTGGATAACTTTAGGAACAGCCCTGAAACACCGTCCGATGCGGTCGGAAGGCACTGCTGAGTGACTGGGGAAGAGCTGTCTCCTCAGCGTAGAGTAGACTTTACTGATGTGCAACGTTTTCGAGCCCTCCATTTGCTGACAGGGCACGGCTCAAAATGGGAAGAAATAGCTGCAAACATCCACTAATAACTGGAACATGGAATGTACGAAGTATGAATCTAGGAACACCGGGAAGTTGTCAAAAATGAAATGGAATACATGAGAACTGATATCGTAGGCATTAGTGAGCTGAAATGGACTGGTTATGACCATTTTGAATCAGACAACCATATGACCTACTATGTCAGGAAGACAGATTGAAAAGTAATGGTGTAGAATTCCTTGTCACAAAAAATTTTTCAAGATCTGTCCTGAACTACAATGCCGTCTGTGACAGGATAATATCCATACACCTACAAGGAAGACCCGTTAATACTACTATTATTCAAATTTACTCACCAACCACCAAAGAAGGAAATTGAAGATTTTTATAAACTTCTGCAGTCTAAAATTGACCAAACATGCAATCAAGATATGCTGATTATCACTAGTGACTGGAATGCAAAAGTTGGAAACAAACAAGAATCACTGGCAGTTGGAAAATTTAGCCTTGGAAATAGAAATGGCGCTGGAGATTGCATGATAGAATTTTGCACGACCAATGACTCACTCACTGCAAATACCTTTTTTCAACAACACAAATGGCAGCTACACATGTGGACTTCGCCAGATGGAGTACACAGGAATCAGATTGACTACATCTGTGACAAGAGGTGATGGAAAAGCTCAGTATCTTTAGCCAAAATAAGGCCTGGAGCTGATTGTGGACCAGAAGATCAATTGCTCATATGCAAGTCTAATTTGAAGACAATTAAAACAAGTCCACAGGAGCCAAAATATGACCTTGATTATATTCCACCTTAGAGACCATCTAAAGAATAGATTTGATTCATTGAACATCAATGCTGAAAACCACAGAAATTGTGGGATGACATCAACAACATCATCCATGAAGAAAGCAAAAGGTCATTAAAAAGACAAGAAAGGAAGAAAGGACCAAAATGGATGTCAGAAGAGACTCTGAAACTTGCCCTTGAGTAGAGCGTAGCTAAAGCAAATGGAAGAAATGACAAGATAAAAGAGCGCAACATGAGATTTCAAAGAGCAGCTCAAGAAGACAAAGTCAATTATTATAATGAAACATACAAAGAACTGGAGTTAGAAAACCAAAAGGGAAGAACACACTCAGCATTTCTCAAGCTGAAAGAACCAAAGAAAAAAATTTAAGCCTCGAGTTGCAATACTGAAAGATTCTATGGGCAGTATATTGAAAGATACAGGAAGCATCAAAACAATATGGAAGGAATAAACAGTCACTGTACCAAAAAGAACTGACCAATGTTCATCCATTTCAGGAGGTGGCATATGATTGAGAACCAATGGTATTGAGAGAAAAAGTCAAGGCTGCACTGAAGGAATTGGTGAAAACAAGGCTCCAGGAATTGACGGAATACCCACCGAGGTGTTTCAACAAATGGATGCTGTGCTAGAGACACTTACTCGTTTATGCCAAGAGATCTGGAAGACAGCTCCCTGGCCAACTGACTAGAAGAGATCCATATTTGTACCCATTCCAAAAAAGGTGATTCCACAGAATGTGGAAATTATCAATTAACAATATTATTAATATCACACACAACTAAAACCTTGCTGAAGATAATTAAAAAATGGTTGCAGCAGTATACTGACAGAGAACTCCCAGAAATGTAAGGTGGATTTAGAAGAAGACAACGTGGAATGAGGGATATCATTGCTGATGTCAAATGGATCTTGGCTGAAAGCAAAGAATACCAGAAAGATGTTTACTTGTGTTTTATTGACTATGCAAAGGCATTTGACTGTGTGGATCACAACAAATTATAGCTAACATTGAGAATAATGGGAATTCCAGAACACTTGATTGTGCTCATGGGGAATCTGTACATAGACCAAACAAACAAAAAACCAAAGTCACTGCCATGGAGTCAGATCTGACTCATAGTGACCCCTCCTTGGGTTTCTGAGGCGGTATCACTACAGAAGTAGATTGCCCAACCTTCCTTCTGAGGAGTGGCTGGTGGGTTTGAACTGCCAGCCTTCTGGTTAGCAATCAAATCCCTCAGGCACTACGCCACCAGTGCCCCTAATACAGACCAGGAGGCTGTCACTTGACTAGAACAAGGGGATACTGCATAGTCTAAAATCAGGAAGGGAGTGCATCAGGGTTGTATCCTTTCACCATACTTATTCAATCTGCATGCTGAACAAATAATCTGAGAAGCTGGACTGTATGAAGAACGTGGCTTCAGGAATGTAGGAAGAATCATTAACAACCTGCAATATGCGGATGACACAACCTTGCTTGCTGAAAATGAAGATGACTTGAAGCACTTACTGATGAAGATTAAAGACCACAGTCTTCAGTATGGATTACACCTCAACATAAAGAAAACAAAAATCCTCACAACTGGACCAATAAATAGAATCACGATAAATGGAGAAAAGATTGAGGTTGTCAACGACTTCATTTGACTTGGATCCACGATCAAACCAATGGAAGCAGCAGTCAAGAAATCAGATGATGTATTGCACTGGGCAAATCTGCTGCTAAACACCTGAAGAGCAAAAATGTCTCCTTGAAGACTGAGGTGCACCTAGCCAAGCCATAAGGCATCCTGGTGGCACAGTGCTAAGGCCTCTGACTGCTAACTGTAAGGTTGCTGGTTCACACCCACCAGCCACTCTGTGGAAGGAAGACAGGGCAGTCTAGTTCTGTAAAGCTTTACTGCCTTGGAAACCCACCGGGGTTTGCTGTGAGTCTGAATGTACTTGATATGGCAGCAAGTTTGCGTTAACTCACGGTGTTTCCAACCACCTCCTATGCTGTGAAAGCTGGTCAGTGAATGAGGAAGACCAAAGAAAAACTGATGCTTTTGAGTTGTGGTGCTGAAGAATATCGAAAGTGCCAGGGACTGCCACAAGAACTAACAAACCTGTCCTGGAAGAAGTGCAGCTGGAATGCTCCTCAGTGAGAATGGCCAGACTTCACGTGAGCTACTTTGGTTGTGCTGTCAGAAGGAACCATTCCCTGGAGAAGGATATGGTGTTTGGCAAAGTGGAGGGACAATGTAAACGGGGAAGGCCCTCACCGAGAGGGACTGACAGGCGCCTGCAGCGATGGGGCCGGGCCGTGGGGCTGCGCGGGGCAGGACAGCGCCTCCTGCTGCTGTGCCCAGTCCCTGGGGGTCGGGGACGGCTCAGCGGCCCCTGACTTCACCACCCCCTCACTCTTCTACGACTTAATTACAAAATATCTTCTCTGCGTAGACAGAGGCCTCGGAATCGGAGTGCTCCTCCTGGGAACAGGCCCAGAGGCCAATGCCAGTGCGGGGTTGGGGTGTGGGGTCTGGCAGGGGTGCACTGCGGGGTCAGAGGCGTGTCAGCAGTGGGCAGCGCTGCCAATGGGCAGATGGCGTGTGGCCCATACCTGCTTGTGTAGGACACTCAGGAGCCCCTGCGTCAGGCCCGTATCATTCTTTTGTGTGGCCACAGGCATCTCAAGTCTGTCCTTCACAGGAAGAGGGTCCCCACGAGACAGAGCTGAAAAATAGCTAAGAACATTGGACAGCTCTCAGGAGCCCCGTTAGCACTAAGCGCAGCTCTGCACTGACCCCACGTGGCCCTTGGCCTGCCTCACCCCTCGGCCCTGGGCTCGGCAGGAGTTCCAGCTCCCACGTGCACGCGGCCTCCAGTCCAGCAGCCCCGCTAACTTCCCATCCCCACAGCTGTGAGTGAACAGATCTGTGTTGTCTGAAGCCACCAGGTGGTGACAATTCGTCACAGCAGCCCTAGCCAACGAACCAACTCCTCATTAACCCGCTTTGGGTCTGCAAATGCTGCTCGGCCAGTTGCCATCGATCTATAGGACAATTCCATACGATAAACCAATACGATAAATCTACCCTCCCAGGACGCTCACTCGCTCAAGTGTGTGATTGCCCACGGTGTTTCCTGACAAAAGGCCAAGAGCGCCCCAGTAAAATCACAAGGTCTGTGGGAGTCCTAGGGTCCCGAATGTTGCGGAACATGCCGGGGACCCCGCTGGCCTGGGGCTCATGGGCCAAGCACCTGAATCCACATCCCCCCCAGTAAAGAGAAGGCTTGGTAGACGCGGCCTGGCTGTCATGCTTGTGTGGCAGGAGCCCGTGTCAGGCGGTGGGGGCCGTGCCCAGGAAGGGGGGCCGCACCCCGGGACCGGGGCTCACCCCGCGGACCACTGCAGCACGTCGGCGGGCTGCGTGCGGATGGCGGCCTTGGTGAACTGCTTCAGGATGTCGGGCAGCTCGGGGGGGATGCGGATCTGCTGCGCGCAGAACATGGCGTCGGGAAGCGGCATGGCCTGGGCGGGCGGACGGCAGCGGGCGGGGCCAACGCCGGAGGCTGCGGGCGGAGGGCGGGCCCTGAGCCTGGCAGGTGGGGCCAGGGGTCCGCCCACCCGCCAGCACTAGCCCGGGTCCGGGCTGGGGGTCCCGGGAGAGGGGCCGGACTGGGGGTCACGGGAGAGGAGTCGGGTTGGGGGTCCCGGGGAGAGGGCCGGGGTCGGGCTGGGGGTCCCGGGAGAGGGGCCGGCTGGGGGTCCCGGGAGAGGGGTCAGGCTGGGAGTCCCGGGAAAGGGGCCGGACTGGGGGTCCCGGGAAGGGGGTCGGCCTGGGGGTTCCGTGAAGGGGGCTGTGTTAGGGTCCCGGGCCCCACCCCGGGTGTGGGCCTGGAGTCTTGGACACGGGTCGGGGGCCTGGCGAACCTCCCCGAGTTTGGGGTCGGGATCCGAAAACGTGGCTCGGGGGCTCGACAAACTCTCCTGTCCGGGCTGGAGGCTGGAGTCTGGGAATAGGCTCAGAGGCGACGAGAGCGCTCACCGGCTCCTTGCGGAATGCGGACCAACGGCCCCTTCGAGCGACACCCCGAAGTGGGCCTGGGACAGCGCACGCCCCCGCGATTGTTTCGCATCGGTCTCCAGGCAACCAACTGGGAAGCGCGTGGCCCCGCCCCCAGCGCTACGCAGACGACCGTGGAGGCGGAGCCACGCGCGCGCACTCGCTCAGGGGCGCGCCTGCGCCGTGCGGCCCGGAGTGTGTGCGCGAACTCTGGGCTGCGAGCACAGGGCAATAGACCAGCACAGGGTAACGGGGTCGCCGACGGCCTCCGGAACACGGGGCTCCCACGAGGGCCACCAGGCAGGGCACAGCGCAGCCAGACGCCCACTGAGGCAGCAGCTTGGCGTGGAGGATCCCAGGACGTGATGTGGCTTTTCCTCCTGAGGAACCCCCCTGCGCCGAGTGCCGCACTGTGGGGAAGGGCCCGGCGTGTGCTTCCGCACGGTGGCGCCGTACCAGTGGGACGCCGGGGAAGGGCAGGCTTCCAGGTCCACGTCTGCGCATTATACGCGGTCTCTGTTCCGAATGCATTTACTCATTCGGCAACAACGCTGCCGGGTCCAGCGTCCTTCCCAGCACTGATGAGGGTGACCCCTTCCCTCGTCGCCAGTGGCATCGACTTCACTGCACATGGTGTCCTCCGCCACTGACCAGTCTCTCCCAGTGACGTGTCCAAAGTAAAGCAGCCGACAGTGTTCTGTTGTGATTCGTAAGTGACACTTAACATGATGGGGCCACTCGGCCAGGCCATGGTTCTCAGGATCATGTACCTAGCCTCCATTTTGATGTGATGGCCCGGGAGTTCCCCTGGGGGTGTGGCCTGCATCCAGCACACGTGTTGCCCGGAACTCGCTCTCAGTCCTGCGTGGACTCCTCATCCTCCAGTTCCTGGGATCCTGCATCGACTGGCCGGCCTCTGGTTCTTGGGCCTGAGCCAGCAGCCTTCCACCTGACCTGCCGATTTTGGCTTCTCAGCCCCTGCAGCTCCATGACTCTGGAAAAGCCTCCAGGCCGATGGCTGACCCACGTATCTGGGACTTGCCAGCCTCCACAAGGCTGTGAACCGATTTCCTGAACGCTCTCTCACGCTCCATAAATGTACATGTATGTACACGTACACACGTCATGCATTTTGATTTCCTAACGAACCCAGCCTCAAACGTTGCCTACTGAGAATGGTTCTAGAGGAACAAAATCTTAAGGATGAGCTTTCTGAGCTGGTTCTCGAGGCTGGCTAGACCGAAATACCTCAATTGCACTGCTAATCCATGGCAGGACGTGGCAGAAATATGTAAATACCACCACTAGGGAACTCGAGAAACAATGCTTTGGGTGACTCTAACTGCTGCCGCTGCTGTCGAATGAGAACAGGGAGTCGGCCCTGCTTTCACCAGACAAAGGGGCGAGAGAAGGAGAGGAGCCCAGGGCTCCCGAGTCAGCTTCAGAGCTGCCTAAAAGACCTGAAAGTTGCCCTTGTGCCCCGAGAGCCAGCCTCATTTCTCGCAGTAACAGCTGGTATCGCCAAAAACCAAACCCGGAGTCTTACCGGCACAGTGGCTGAATCATAGTGCTGACTGAACCCCCAACCTCAGATGATGTGTGACGTCGTCAAGTGAAGGCACTGAGTGGGAAGAGGGGCGTCTACAATGTTTCACGAGAGTGACTGGTCCCAGGGAGAAAGGAAATACTCGACTCTGGCTGGGGGTGGGGGGCAGTACTGGATACAGGCTCTTGACGGACACGGGTTCCAGGAAACCCAGACGTCACTGGCCCAGCAGTCAGAGTGGTGGCGTACGGAGGTCAGGTTACTGATGGAACCTTAGCTCAAGTCCAAGCAGGGGAGAAGCCAAGGGACTGTAGCGTCAAGGCCGAGGGCCAGAGAGGTGTGCCTGCGGGCATGTTGTGAAGAGAACATCCTGATGGCCGAACTGTAGGCTGAGTGTGCCTCCCCCTCATGAAGTCAGAGGAGGCCCAAAGCTGCCGCCACCATGGTTACACGTAGTCGGGAAACTCTGCTCACGTGTGTCCACGTGGGTGACCCTGCCAGTACTGGACTCCTTGGCAGCATGGCTTCCAGCAGCTCAGTACCACTCAAGCCCTACATGGCGATGCGCTGAGAAGGCAGCTGGTGACAGCCATACCTAAGTGCCACATACGTGCTGGGGATACAGAAGCAACGCGAGCAACGTAAAACAATCAACCTCTGAAGCTGATGCTCCTGTGAAGGCAGCTCGGCAGGAGGGGAGGCGGACGCCCAGGGGCCCTGGGCTCAGGAAGCGAAGGGAGCAGGGCTGCGGGAGGGGCATCTGTTTTTTTTTTTAATGCCATTTTATTGAAATATAATTTATGTAGTGAAATATGCAAAACTAAAGTGACTTTTTTTTTTGCAGTGTTCCCTCCCATCCCCTCCCATCCCTGGCAACCAACCAAGAAAGTTTCCCTCCATATATAAACCTTCCGTCATTCACTCTTCTGCTGGTGGGCATGTAGGTTGTTTCCATCTTTTTGCTATTGTAAATCGTGCTGTGATGAACATGAGCGTGCATGTATCTGTTCCTATCCTGGCTCTCACCTCCCTAGGATATATACCTGGTAATGGGATTGCTGGGTCAAATGGTATCTCCAATTCCAACTTTCTAAGGAATCGCCATATTGCTTTCCACAGTGGTTGTGTCACTTCATAGTCACACGAGCAGTGTATGAGAGTCCCAATCTCTCCACATCCCTGTCAGCATTTGTTATTTTCTGTCTCGTTGAACCTTGCCATCAGTGCTGGGGTGAGATGGTATCTCATTGTTTTGATTTACATCTCTATGATGGCCAATGATTGTGAGCATCTTTCCATGTATTAGCTGACCACCTGAATATCCTCTTTGGTGAAGTGTCTACTCATGTCTTCTGTTCATTTTCCAATTGAATTGTTAATTGCTTTGGTGTTGAGGCATTGGAGTTTTCCATCAATCTTAGAGGTAAGTCCCTTGCCAGATATGTAATTATCAGCAAATATGAATTTGTTGCTGTCATTTTTGCCATGTGCCTTTTCATTGTGTTGATTTATTTGTTCCATATAATTTTCTATGCTGAGCTCGTTTTATGAATCATGTTATCACTTCCTTCATTACTATTGCTTTAGTATTTCCTGAATATTTAGCTGGTTCTCTTTTTTATTTTGATGTGAAGGTTTACCATTTTTCTTTGAGGTTACCCTGTGATTTATAGTTTTCTTCCCAAGTGTCGAATAGTCTGTTCTACCTTGTAGTTGTCTTGACTTCCCTACCATTTAGAAGTTCTGTAACGACAGTTTTTTCCCTCTTTTTGGTTTGTAGTTGTCCTCATTTGTCGGTTGGTTTCTCTGGTTCCCTGTTTACAATCTTGTAGGCTTATTTACTTTGGATACTTCCATAGCTGGGTTGGTTTCTGGGTTGTATCATCATGTGTGTTAATGGTCAGTTGTTGTTGGCTGTTGTTGCTTCTCTGTCCAAAGGGCTCCCTTTAGCATCTCTTGTAAGGTTGGTCTGGTTTTAACAAATTCCCTTAGTTTCTGCTTATCTGGAAATCTCTTAATTTCACCATCATATTTGAGGGACAGTTTTGCTGGGTATGTAATTCTTGGTTGAAAATCTTTCTCTTTCAGTCTTTTATATATACCATCCTACTGTCTTCTCGCCTGCATGGTTTCTGTCAAGACTTCTGAGCTTAGTCTTATTGGTTGCTCCTTGTAGGTAACTTTTCATTTTTCCCATGCTGCTCTCATGATTCTTTTTTTGTCTTTGGTTTTGGTGAGTTTGATGATGGTACGTCTTGGTGTTTTTCTTTTGGGTCTATCCTGTTTGGGGTTCGTTGGACTTCCTGAATGGATATAGCCTCATCTTTCATCCTATCAGGGAAGTTCTCCTCCAACAAATCTTGGACAATTTTCTCTGTGGTTTTATTATTCTCTTCCTGTTCTGGAATTCCAATGACACGTAAGTTATTCCTTTCGATGGTATCCCACATGAACCTTAGGCTTTATTTTGATCTTTTTTCTGATTGATCCCTTTCCAAAGAAGTATTCGGGTATTTGTCTTCAATCTCATTAATTCTGTCTTCCATTGCACCAATTCTACTCCTTTGCCCTTTCAATGTGTTATCTATTTCTGACAATTTACTGTTAATTTTCTGGATTTCTATCTGTTGATTTAGAATCATTTCTAATTTTTCATTTGTCATTTTGTTATTGTATTTTCTTCCAAAATTCATGTATTTTGTCATTGTATTTTCTTTCAAAATTCTTCTAGGGTTTTGTCTGTGTTTTCCTCGATCTGTCTCTCAATCCTTTGAAGATACCTAAATATAATTGTTTTGAATTTCTTATCAGGGAGTCCCAATGCTGTGTCTTCCTCAGGGATGTGTATTGGGTCTGTATCCTGGTCACTTATCTCTCCTGCTTTATCTTGCTTCTTTGTGTGGACTGTGATGCTCTGCTGTCTCCGAGGCATTGTGGCATTTTTGTGTTTATATTTAATTGGTGATTATATGTTGGAGGGACTTGCTCACAATTTTTGTGTTCTTTCTTTGTATGTTTTCTGTACAGGCAGGGACTGTGCTGTACTCCTCTATTCAATAGTTGACAGCACTTATACACTCACCACCTATCTCCTTTCCTTTGTCAGCCTCTCATATGTCCTTGCTGACTCTGGCAAACAGAACCTGTTCTTAGCTACTTGGAACCTGAATGAGAATGCTATCACTTTAAAGTCCAAAATGGTTGCCACTTGTAGACATTCAAAATGGCTGCGCCCTCAGTCACTTTAAATATCCAGAATGGCTGCCACGTGTGAACAATCAAAATGGCTGCACCGTCCAGACAGCAGAAAGTCTACAGCTCAGGTTGTCTCCCTCCTTGCTGTTTCCCTTCCTAGTCATAGGCCACCAGAGCGGTTGTCCCAGCAACCCTTGGTGACCAGGACTGATCCTTAGGTCAATTCTCAGGTCCCAACACCACCTGGAAATATTTAGATTATTGGCCTCGTCAGAGTAGCCGACAGTCCGCAGCTCCAACCGTGTCTGTACTGTTTTCGGTCAGGTTTTTCCGGTAGTTGGTGCCTAATCCACTTCTGTATAGTTCCTTTCAAAGCTCAAGGTTCCAGGATTATCTTCTGTATATCTGTCAATTGGTTTTTGTTTTCTTTGTTGAGAAGGGTCTGTGTCGCCTGTCTGCCTATTCCTCCATCTTACTGGAAGTCCAGGAGGAGTGTCTTGAGGGCACACCGAGCAGCAGGCGCCAAGACCCTGAGGCCTGACCTATGGCTGGCGCCCAGCGAACCGGGCACTGCAGTCAGAAGGAAGAGGTGGTGTGGGTGCGGCTTTGAGCGCAGGTGCACTGGGTACCATCGTTGGGCTGAGGCTGCAGCTGACACTCCGCACCCAGCACAGGGACAGAAGGAAACACCAAGCAGTGGGAGCAGGAGAGATGCCAGTGGCTCGGGTGGGCGTCAAAGAGCCAGAGTCTGATTTATGCTGAAGATGAAAAGCTGCTGATGAAAGAGGTGGGGTGTGAGAAAATGTTGGATGTCCCCAACATTCTGGACGCAGCGACTCTGATCCAGCCGCCTGCTGATTGGGGAAAAGGGAGTTAGGGAGCACCAGGTTCAGGGCATTAAGGCAGCACCCGTGGGCGCTGCACCAATGTCTGCAGTTGTGACAAGGTGGGATTTGGTGTGTGTGGGGGCAGTGGTCTCAGCTGAGCACCGTGTATAAAGGATGGGGATGAGCAGGGGTATGGTCGGGCAGCTGGGGGAACATCACAGGGGCACAGCAGCCGAGTCACAGAGGCATCCCACAGGGCTGGCAGGGGCCACCGTGGCCTCTCAGGTTGAACCCACAGGAGGGTGGGGGCAGGGGGCAGACCTGAGAGCAGGAGAGGGCAACGGGTGTGGCGGGCGTTTGCCCCAAACAGCAGAAATGGAGGAGGAAGGAGACCAGCCGTCAGTCCAGTGGGCCGACTTCTGGACCCGCTTCTGCTCCGTGCCCCCTGTGCATCTGTGGGAATGGTCACGCTGCACAAAGAGCAGAGAAGGGACAACGGAGCGCCACCCTCCCTCCGTCCAGGGCACCAAGGCTCCAGGCCGAAACAAACGTGCAGAAGCAGTGAGTTAAAGGCAGCGGGATGCAGGTACAGAAGCATGAGGTGACGGGGCACAGAGGGACGCCAGGAGTGGATGCGGGCCGAGGGGACGGCGCAGGAGGCAGGCACCGGCGCACAGGGTGGCCCAGGCGCACGGCGCACAGCAAGCTCCCTCAGCCCCCTGCGGCGACTCTTTCTCAGGTGAATATCCACACACATCTGGGTTCCCACCTGTGCTGTCGTTTCTGAAATAAAGTGGGAGACAAACCAGAACGACTCAGCTACAACTAACATTCACTTTATTCCATTTTGTTCTCTCAACTCAGAAGGCAACGAACGACCACATAAAAAGGGGCATTTGAGAACGTGTGCACGTAAGACGGCCTGAGACTGCCAGGGCGTGTGTTATAGAAAACTGGGGTCTGAATGTCCCATGTCCGTCCAGGCCTGCCACCTCCTGGGCTCCCAGGTGGACCTTCCTCTCAGATGGAAGCCACACACAGGACAGAGGGCTGGAAACACATGCTGCCGCAGCCTCATGTCGTGGTTGTCAGGCTCCAGGGGTCCTTCCGGGAACCCCTGCGGCACGGCTGTGGCGGCAGAGCAGAGGGAAACCCCGAGAGCAGGTGTGGCAGGGCCTCGAGCTGTCACCGCCATCTGCCCGCTCATGACAGTGTTAACACAATTTCACAACGTAAGAAGCTTATCACAGTGAGTAGAGAGCTTAAAATACTCAACCCAGACCACAAGAGGAAGCAGCTCCCTTGTGGAGTTTTAAAAACTGCCTGCGTTCCTTCTGTAGGCCCACATCCTTGCGCCCACATGAGCACGCACGTGTGTAACGTGTGTGTATGACAAGCACTTGCAAGCACATAACGCAGAAATGCCAGTGTTTCTCTTGTTTCAGATAGTCATCAATTCAACTCACATTGAAGAATGACCCTTAACAGCGACATTTGCCAACACAGGACACATCTGAGATGGGTTGTCTGAGGGAAGCTGACTGCTACCTGAACAGGCCCAAAGCACCAAGTGCTGCAGAGGCCATGGGCCCACTAGTGCTCACACACGCACCGAGATGCCTGCTGTGGCCCCCAAGCCCCAGGGGCCGGCTGCACGCACACCTCACGCTGGCACTATCTGCAGTGCCCACCTCCACTGTCAGCGCCCACAGCTTAAAATCAAACAGTTCGCTAACCGCCAACAACTGCATGCCTCCTGCTACAAGCGTTGGGCTGCTCACAGAGAGGTGACCCCCAAGCTGATCTGTCCCCCACACATGCCACAGTGAGGACTCAGCAGATGGGCGACGTCTAGGCGTGTGACAGTGGAGCTGGCACTGCGATGGGAGGTCCACAAGGCAGGCGGCAGCACCAGGACTCTGAACCACAGGCTGAGGACCAAGGAGGGTGGGGTCAGTACCAGGACCGGGTGCTGTCCAGGTCGGCCTCACCCCAGTGGGTGCCTCCTCCTCAAACCACAGCACTGAGCCTAGCTCCCACGGACGGTCAGTGCCCCCACTGAGGCATGGGCTGGGGGTCACTGTCCGGTCACCCGGGCTTCTCCACAGTGCCCGCCTAAGGATCACTGCGGGCCTGCAGACCAGGCACCTCTAACGGTTTGTGGCGGCTGCTTAGAGCCTTCGCTGCTGGAAGAGACAATGGGAACTAATGGCTGCAGATGGAGACCTACAGACTGGATGAGAAATTAACAGAGACCCAACGGACTCACACTGTGCCCAATTCCCTACACAGCTTCTCCCATGAGAACTCCTCTCACACGAGGACAGGTGGCTCCCTGCACACGCGCCTCAGTTATTCCAGGAGGGAGGCCGACCGTGCTCATGTGGCCGAGTCACGTACCGGCTTCCTGATTCACACCGAGGGTTTGAGATTCACAGTAAAGGACTGCTCAGTGCATGGGGAAGAGTGGTGCTAAAGGGACACCTCAACTGTCACCTGTCGGGTGAACTCTCACTGAACACCTGCTGTCACACGGCTGCTGTACACTGAGCTGTCCTATGAAACCCGCAGACTCTAGTCAGGGGCTTAATACTGTACAGAGACTCCGACTTCTGTAACCTCGTGAGCCTCACGTCCTCCGGAAATGGCTAAGTCACCATCTAGAAGCAGATGTGGCTTACAGCGTACCACGCGCCCTGCTCCCGACGTCGAGCTGGGGCTCTAAGAGCCCCCAGCCCATGCGTGTGCCCAGGTACTGAGGTGATCAGCACGGCTCTGCCAGCTTCCTTCTGCACAAGTGCAGTCCAGCTGGTCTTCTCTGAAGCCGTGCTCCGTGAAGGAAAGCTGCAGCCTGAACTGGGGGCAGCGTGGCCCCCGTGCTCACGAGGTGACACACAGCCAGCAGCCCGGCATCGAGGGGTCTCCACAGTGCTCACTGACACACTGACTCCGGCCTCAGGAGCAGACGGCAACACCAGCTGGCGCTCCGTGACCCTACCGCCAGAGGAAGCGAGGGAGCTTGGGGTGGGGGGAATAGGTAGAGAGGCTCCGTCTGGACTTTCCTTTCCTCCTAAGTGTAGACACATCCTAACAAGCACAGGAAGCCCTACTCCCAACACTGATCACCAGAAATTATTAAATTATCAAAATGAAAAATAACTCCTCACCTAGCACAGTATCACAAAAAGACACATGAGAAACCAGGCAGTAGAAAACATACGACTTTGGTGTTCCACAGAACAACTCCCGAACGACTGACGGGGAAGCACAGGGCCGCCTGCCCCTCAGAGACGCCGCAGGCCCTGCGGGGGCCTCCGGAGCCGGACGCACGCACGCACGGGGGGGCGGGCTCTGCGGGCTCGCGGCTCCTGCTCCTCACGGTGCTTGGCACAGTCCTGTCAAGATCACAGCAGGTCCATGTAAAGTGACAACCAGATTTAATAAATTAATATACACTGTTTGGACGTGCGGCACGCGGCCTCCAGCATCAGGAGCGTCTATATACACATTTACAGACCGCGGCAGCAGCGGCATCCGAGGCTGGGCGTGAGGAGGCGAGGCGGGATGCTGCTCCTGGTGCTCAGAGCACACGTCAAACACGCAGAACTGAGATTGCAGGGTCTCCATGGAGAGCCCGCAGAAGGGCACTGAGAGGCAGGGGCGGGACTCCACGCAGCACTTTACTCCTGGGACAGCGGCGGCGGCGGCGGCGAACTGCCTGGCTTGCCCGACTTGCGCTCGTAGTTCACCAGGCGCTGCCCCACAAGGTACCTGGGGAGACTGGGGGTTAGCAAGCTGCACCGAGAGGAACCCCTTCCTCCAAGAGCCTCACTTGGCCTCTCCCTCCCCACAGCCTCACTGGGCGGGGGAGAAGTGGAGGTGGACTCCAGGACGAACAGCACAGGCCACCACGCAGTGCCCTGAACACGCACAGAGCGAGGGAGCAGGCCTCTCTCCGAAAGCTGGGGGTCCTTCCAGCTCAGATGCTAAGAGACGTGTGGGCTCACCTACTGTGGTTCCCATGTCATGACCTGGGACGCCACCTGCAAGCAGGATTAGCAGAAGAGGCGAGCAGATGGCGTGCCCAAAACGAATGAGATGCATGGAAAGCTGGTGCGAGGGTTCCTGACCTCAAAAAGGCCGCCCAGGGTACACGTGTACAGGTGTGCATGTGGCACAGTGAGGTGAGGGCGTGCGGGTGGCTGTGTGCTGATAGAGGGGGTTCACGATGCAGCGAGGTGAGGGTGGGCAGCTGTGTGCTGCAGCGGGGGAAGGTCACGGTACAAGGAAAGGTGAGGGTGTGCAGGCAGGTGGGTGGCTGTATGCTGTAACAGCGGGGGGTCACAGTGCGGGGAGAGGCGGGGCTGTTTGGGCAGCATGTGGACATCAGATGTAGCGTGTAGGGAGGTGGAGGCAGTGGTAGCCGCTAGGGGACGAGTGACCCTGGAGAAACCCTCTGCAAGGACCTAAGAGTCCCAAGCTGGTGGCACAGGACCTGGTATGGGGTGCTGCTGGGAGTGCCCCACAAGGTCGGTGGTGATGGGGTGAGAGAGCTGTGTGCTTGGGCATGGAGGAGTGGGAGCGAGCTGTGCAGTGTGGTGGTGGAGGGGTATATGGGGCTCAGTTTCCTCACCACCGAGGAAAGGACCCAGAGTGCATTTCTACCACGTTGCAGTGGCCAGTTTTCTGTGTGCACGTGTCTAATGTTTGGGCCTAGGAGCCCCCCACTCCTGGACCAGTCCGCCTGCTGGTCTTTCATCTGCGTCTGGCCCACTGGCCCTAAGGCTGGCCGTGCCCCACCCCCTGCTCCCTGAACAACCTCACACAGCTCTTTAAACAAGGAGGGTTTCGTAGGTGTTGGAAATGATACACTGGCCCTCGGGGGCCCACCGGCCCCTGGGTCACCACCACGACCCTCTGGTAGCTCAGCGTCTCCGGAGCCCTTACTTGTCATTCTTGATGTGCTCGTAGAGGCGCCGGAACTGGCGGACCTGGAAGGACAGGATGCCCATCAGGACGACGACCATCAGCAGGAACGGGTAGATTCGCCGCTGCACCAGGTTCTGCATTTCCGCAGTCACACCTGTGGACACCAGGGGGCGCTCAGCTCAGGGGGCAGCCCAGAGAGGCACGCTGCCCTGAGGGAGGCCCCGCACAGTCCAGGACCCCGTCCTCCTCAAAACGGGGTCCCTCCCAACACACGGCAGCAGGGACGCGGCTCAAAGCAAAGGTGCGCCGATGAAGCTCTTGCCTAAAGGTCGACCCTCCCTACTTGGTGCTTTTGATTTTTCAGGGCTGAATCTGACCTGTGAGTGCCCAGACCCGGGTGGCAGTACGTGTGGGGGTCATGCTTGGGGGCTGATTTGGCTCTGCTCCTTAAAAGCCAGACTGAGGGCCAAATCCTCACCACCATGGCTGCCTTCCCCCCTCTCTCCAGGGGGCTCACGGCACCTAAAAAACTCATCCCAGGGTCCAATGAGACTGGAGCATGGTGAGTGACTGCTGCCAAGTGTCTCACAGCCGAACTGGGCTCCAGACAGTGGTCAGAAGGTCACCAGGCCTCTCTTCCCAGGCCTTTCGGGGTGGATTTGACCTCCATCCTTCCCATGAACTGCCAAACATGTTCACTATTTACAACACCCGCCCCTTGGGGCGCCTCACACATCCGATAAGGAGCAGACAAATTCAGACCCCTCCCACTGTCTTTCCTCACCCAAAAGCATTTCAACAGAGATCACGATGGCAAGTTTCCATAATATAAAGGTGACATGGTTTGGGTGTCCGCAACAAGAGGAGTGACAGATGATCATTTATGAGCAGGGACACAAGTGAGTGTGTTTGCAAAGTGGATGAGGGAGCTTGTACGGCAGGACACCCATGTACACATATAGTACGGGGCATGGTATTTCCACCTACACATCTGTGAACAGTACGTGCACACACATATATGTAATAGGGACTGTTTGCAAAGTGGATGAGGGAGTTCATGTACATACATAGTACTGGGCATGGGATTTCCACATACACGTCTATGAACAGTATGTTGTTGTTGTTAGGTGCCGTCATTTCTGACTCATAGTGACCCCATGCACAGCACAATGAAACACTGCCTAGTCCCACGCCAGCTCCATGATCCTTGCTATACTTGAGCCCATCGTCGCAGCCACTGTGTCAATCCATCTCATTGAGGGCCTCCCCCTCTTTCATCGACCCTCCACTTTACCAAGCATGACATCCTTTTCCAGGGAATGGTCCCTTCTGACAACATGACAAAAGTGAGACGAAGTCTGGCCATTCTCACTTTCAAGGAGCATTCCGGCTGCATTTCGTCGAGGACAGATTGTTAGTTCTTCTGCCAGTCCATGGTACTTTCAGCATTCTTTGCCAGCACCACAACTGAAAAGCACCAACTCTTCTTCGTTCTTCCTTATTCACTGTACAGCTCTCACATGCATACGAGGCGACTGAAAACACCATGGCTTGTGTCAGGCGCACCTTAGTCCCCAAGGAGACATCCTTGCTTCTCATCACTTGAAAGAGGTCTTTTGCAGCTGACTTGCCCAGGGCTATACGTTGTCTGATGTCCTGACTGCTTCTTCCATTGGCGTTGATTATAGAACCTAGCAATGTGAAGTCCTTGACAACTTCAATCTTTTCTCCATTTATCGTGATGCTACTTATAAGGTCCAGTTGTGAGGATTTTTGCTTCCTTTATGTTGAGATGTAATCCATACCGCAGACTGTATTCTTCAATCTTCATCAGTAAGTGCCTCCATCATCTTCACTTTCAGCAAGCAAAGCTGTGTCACCAGCGTGTCGCAGGTTGTTAATGATTCTTCCTCTAATCTTGATGCTATGTTCTTCTTCATATAGTCCAGCTTCTTGGATTATTAGCTCGGCATACAGATTGAATGAGTTTGGGGTAAGAATACAACCCTGACACACTCCCTTCTTGATTTGAAACCATGCAGTGTCCCCTTGTTCTGTTCAGACAACAGCCTGCTGGTCAATGTAGTTTCCTCGTGAGCACAATCAAGTGTTCTAGAATTCCCATTCTTCTCAATGTCATCCACAATTTGTTAGGATCTACACAATCAAATGCCTTTGCATACTCAATAAAATACAAGTAAACATCTTTCTGGTATTCTCTGCTTTGAGCCAAGATCCATCTGACAGCAGCTATGATAGCCCTTGTTCCATGTACTCTTCTGAATCCAGTTTGCACCTCTGGAAGTTCTCTGTCAATATACTGCTGCAACCGTTTTTAAATTCAGTAAGATCTTACTTACGTGCGATATTAATGATAGTGTTTAATAATTTCCATATTCTGTGGGATCACCTTTCTTTGGAATGGGTACAAATATGGATCTCTTCCAGTCAGTTGACCAGGTAGCTGTTTCCCAAATCTCTTGGCATAGCCGAATGAGTGCCTCCAGTGCAGCATCCATTTGTTGAAACATCTCAGTGGGTATTCCGTCAGTTCCTGGAGCCTTGTTCTTTACCAATTCTCTCAAGCATAGCTTCGACTTCTTCTTCCTTCAGTACCATTGGTTCTTGATCATATGCCACCTCCTGAAATGGAAGATTGACCAGTTCTTTTTGGTACAGTGACTCTGTGTATTCCTTCCATCTTCTTTTGATGTTTACTGCATCATTCAGTATTTTGCCCACAGAATCTTTCAATATTGCAACTCAAGGCTTAAATTCTTCCCTCAATTCTTTCAGCTTAAGAAATGCCAAGTATGCTCTTCCTTTTTGGTTTTCTAACTCCAGATCTTTGCACATTTCATTATAGTAATTGGCGTTGTCTTCTCGAGCTGTTCTTTGAAATCTTCTGTTCAGCTTTTTTACCTTGTCATTTCTTCCATTTGCTTTAGCTACTCTCCACTCAAGGGCAAGTTTCAGAGTCTCTTCTATCATCCATTTTGGTCTTCTCTTCTTTTCTTGCCTTTTTAGTGACCTCTTGCTTTCTTCATGGATGATGTTCTTGATGTCATCCCACAATTCTGGTTTTCGGCCGTTGGTGTTCAATGCATCAAATCTACTCTTTAGATGGTCTCTAAATTTAGGAGGGATATATACAAGATGATATTTTGGCTTTCGTGGACTTGTTTTAATCATCTTCAACTTCAAGTTGAACTTGCATATGACCAGTTGATGGTCTGTTCCACAATCAGCTCCTGGTCTGGTTTTGGCTGAAGATATCGAGCTTTTCCATTGCCTCTTGCTACAGATGTTGTCAGTCTTGTTCCTGAGTATTCCACCTGGTGAACCCATGGGTACAGCCACCATTTGTGTTGTTGGAAACAGGTATTTGCAATGAATAAATTGTTGGTTTTGCAAAATTCTATCATGTGATTTCCAGCATCATTTTTGTCACCAAGGCCAAATTTTCCTTTTCAAAGAGCAGCTCAAGAAGACAAAGTCATTTATTATAAAGAAATGTGCAAAGACCTGGAGTTAGAAAGCCAAAAGGCAAGAACATAGTTGCATTTCTCAAATTAAAAGAACTGAAGGAAAAATTCAAGCCTCAAATTGCCATAATGAAAGATTCTCTGGGCAAAATACTGAATGATGCAGGAACAACAAAAGAAGATGGAAGGAATACACACACTCACTACACCCAAAAGAACTGGTCGATCTTCATCCATTTCAGGAGATGGTATATCATCAAGAATCAATTGTACTGAAGGAAGAAGTTGAAGCTGCACTGAAGGAATTGGCGAAGAACAAGACTCCAGGAATTGATGGAATACCCATTGAGTTTTTTCAACAAACAGATGTCCCCCTGGAGGCACTCACTCCATTATGCCAAGAGATTTGGAAGACAGTTATCTGGCCAACTGACTGGAAAAGATCCGTATTTGTACCCATTCCAAAGAAAGGTGATCCCACAAAATCTGGAAATTACTCAGTATCATTAATATCATGGGCAAGTAACATCTTGCTGAAGATAATTCAAAAACAGTTGCAGTAGTATACTGACAGAAAACTTCCAGAAATGCAAAGCTGGATTCAGAAGAGGACATGGAACAAAGGACATCACTGCTGATGTCAGATGGATCTTGGATGAAAGCAAAGATGTTTACTTGTGTGTAAGCGTTTGACTGTGTGGATCATGACAAATTATGGATAACATTGAGAAGAATGGAAATCCAGAACAATTAATTGTACTCATGAGGAACCTCTACATAGGAATAAGAGGCTGTTGTTCGAACAGAATAAAGAGATACTACATGGGTTAAAATCAGGAAGGGAGTGCATCAGGGTTGTATCATTTCACCATATTTATTCAATCTGTATGCTGAGCAAATAATCCAAGAGGCTGGACTATATGAAGAAGAATGTGGCATCATGATTAGAGGATGACTCATTAATAACCTGTGATATGCAGATGACAAAAACCTTGCTGAAAGTGAAGACGACTTGAAGCACTTACTGGTAAAGATTAATGACTACAGTCTGCAATATGGATTTCACCTCAATAGGAGGAAAACAAAAATCCTTACAAACAGATCAAAAAGCAGCATC